TTAAGGTCACAGGAACCAGGGGTGAACTCTACGCTTGAGCAAATCCGTCTGTGTGTTTTGTTGCTTTTTGGTGATACCTGCTCTGGTGAGTGTACTATCAGCTAATGCAGGGGTCACTTTGCTGATTAGGCTGATGGCATCAAGTCAGTGAAAGTCATGAAATGGGTAATGGCAACAGGCTGTTTTGTTTTTTTATTTTATTTTAAAATTGCCTTGTCTCCCTGTAGCGTGAAGCATTGTTGGGTGAGACGGTGAATGAGTTTGATTCCAGCTGTGTTACATGTCATAATCTTCCTCGCCCACACGTTTCCCGTTTCCCTGTTTACTCCACCATAAAACCAAAAAAGGTGATTATGACAAGGAGAATAGAAAACACCAGACAGCTTTTCAAGAATAATAATGTTTTGTCTTTTTAAAAAAAACACATTTCAAGAACCCTACAAAAAACATTTTTCAGAGTGCACAGTTTTTGTCTGAGCTGCTCCTCCTTCCTCGGTGAGCTGGAACGACATTGGCAGGATCTGAAAGCTCATCGCAGTCTACACACTTAACACAATCGGTGTACAGAACTACATTATATCACAATTATGATAAATATGCAGGATAGTTCACCCCCGAAGACCGTAGGAGACGACAGACGTGATAACATCCTCAGCCCCTTCAAGAAAAACACCCCACCCTCTATCCTTTATGTGTCTTTCCGTGGGTGCGTTTCCCAACAGTTTAATCATCAACAATGGCCATAAACTTAACACGAGCTCCATCATAAAAGTAGGAAGGTGAGTTATGAGGTCACGTCTCTGAGGGGAAAATTTAAAACGAAACCTCCACAGTCAGATAAAGTGGGCTGCCCTATCAACAGTATCACTAACGTGTCACTGTTTTTGTGCGATAAGACCTTTTCACATAACTGCAACTGTCCAAGACTCTTCAGCAGTTCTGGCTCGTGCGTATACGCTGTTCACACACTCCCCGTCACCTCAGTTCCGGAAAGAGACAATTCTCTGTAGCCGTTAGATGTTTATGGTGAATGATTAGCCCAGCGAGTCACTGATTTGAACTTCCCTTTGTTTCAAAGGGATCGAAACGCCAAGGCCATATCTTAGAAACCACTAATGGTCCCATTATTATTGATTTAAATTACTGATTTAGAAATCCATGACAAGAAAAGAAGACATTCTGGTCGATACTTTTACTCGAGTTAGATTAAAAACTGTACAGTTTCTGTGACTGCACACTGAATGTAAGGCTGGAAAAAAGGGAAAACCGTTAGTGTGATTCAGCACTAACCTCCTTTGTCCATGTTTAAGTCCATTTGTTGAAAAAATTACAAGCTACAGGTAATAAGAGTCTTGGTGGTGGAAATTTGAAAAAATCTTCTCATCTAGACTTTATTATTATTATTCTTTTTAAAAATGAATATAAATCCAGTTTGACATATTTTTGGTATCCTCAGCTCGTTATTATGGATAGTCCTCCCTCATTTTGGTGCTGTTCACTCAGTAACTTTGCAAATAAACTAACTAAGACCTAAAATAACACATTCAGACACTGTTCAAGATTTTCCATCCTGAACTCTGATAATGAGCACCTTCTTCCTCTGCAGCTCCCTTTTAATTGGTTTGTGCTGCAAGTTGGTACACCAGCCAGGAGAGGGAGCTGCTCTATAAATAGAAACAGTTGAAACGTTTCTCTCCAGCCGAGCCATCTGTCTCCTCTTTGCTGTTTTCATCAAACTTTCTTTCTCGGATCTATCTCTCATAAGCCACACACACACACACACACACACACACACACACACACACACACACACACACACACACACACACACACACACACATTTTTAAAATTATTTTTGTGGCCTCTTTCTGCAAACAAATGCAAATTTTTGCCTTAAAACCGCAGCCGTGCATCAATAATTTAGAGAGGAATCTTCTCTAGTCTGCTGCTGGTGATCAAATATAACCTGCCAGAGTCAAACACATGTGAACATGAATTAAATATAAATGCTGCTGCACAACTACTTGGTAAGTGATGGACTGACAGCCTCAGAAACTCAAAGTGACGCAAATAGTGTCCCATTTTTGGCAATGTTGTCAGATGGGGAGAATATATTATTGATGGTTTGGGTGTTCAGGAAGTGTTTCATCAGTTTGGCAAAAAATAATACAATAAAACATGTAATAGTGGAAAATATTGAAAAATAAGAATGTGTCAGCTGTGGGGCAGAGAGATAAGGGAGTAAGTGCTGCCTGTGATGCGATTTTGATGTCAGGTTTGGTTGCAGTGGTGGGAAGAGAGACACGGGGCTCCACCCCCTCTGCTATAGACTGACACCTGTTTTCCACTTTGTGTCAGTGACATCTAATGCTGCCCTCCATCTGTGTCTAAATCAGAGCACAGGGCTGTGACTATCACCTGGACTGACTTTCAGCCTCACCCAGGAGACACAAACGGAGCAGAAAACTGCCTTTACAGCTGCAAACGGTGGTGAAGGTGAAGGGAACAGAACTTCCTTAGGTGTGAGAGAGGATAACCTCAGAGAAGATAAAAGTTTCTCCTCCTTTTTTTGTCTTTCCAGAAGATGTAGAGCTCCAAGGATAAAAAATTTTTTTAAAAAGTAAAAGAAAAAGGAATCATGTCTGATGAAGACAGAGACCCTGATATTGAACTTTTTGTAAAGGTAAGATAGACACAAAACTATGACTGCAGTGAGGTTTTGATAACATTTGAGGGACCAAGTATTGCCTGAATTTCTCAAATGAGCATCGCTGCGTGTTATGGAGCAGTTGCGTAACCCAATAGCGGAGGTAGAGTTACAGCAGCACCAGCAAGCACCCCGACCCAGGATGGTTGTGACAGTGATACCGAAGCTGCTTGTTGATGGTGAGAAGCTCACATCAGGCCATGCAGTGGTACTGTTACTTCAGTCCACACTTTTTCAGGGAGGACTGTGCTATGCAATCAGTCTCGAGAATCTGTCTAATGTCTCAGATGTAAAACAGACATTGCATTCCTGAGTTGAAATCTGCAGTATTCAGCAGCAGCAAAGATGTTGGTAGAAACATGAACAACTTCCAGGGGATGAACAACTTTTATGATCTTTGTTTTTTGGGGGCAAACTTTTAAAGTACATTTTAAAGACTTGACTTATAATGCTATACCTGAAGTTTCTATGCTCCAGTAACAAATGAAAATGAACGTTAACGCAGACAACTACCCAAATAGATCTCTGGAAGAATTTCAAGTGGTGAGGCTTGCTTGTTCAAGGACCTTTCAAAAAGATGTTTTATATAAGATAGCATGTAGGATGGAAACTTTGAAACAGGTAATAATAAAGTGGAAAAAAAATGACAACAGTTTGAAGGTGGTACCATCAGTGGACACAGCAGTGGTGTTTTGTTCTCTATAAAAAGCTTTACTTCAGGTCCGCTGAGGAATCACACAGGCAGATGGATACACCTGAGGCAGGTGGAAAAGCTAACGTGCTGCCTGGATGCACAGTTCTAATTAGCTGGTGAGACGTCTGACTTTCTGCAGGCACTTCGGAGGTCAACTAATTAACTTTTAGGCCTTTATCTTTGATTTAGTTTCTAAACTGTCATTTTCTTTCAATAAATCCTAATGAAACACAAATTGTATTAATATATATAGAGAGTGACTACAATCCTAATATAATAATTTATTCATCATGCTACGATCTACATGGATCTGATGGCTGGAGAACTATCATGCTCCACCCCACATACAGGAATTAGCCTATAAACGGTGACTATCGGGGGTTATAGGAGTCTTACGTGCACCAGAGGGATCAATCTTAGCAGTTTTAATCTTCGTATGCCTTTTAGAAATTACAGTATTATTCTGTGAATGACTGTAGTATCAATGTTTTCAGTTAATATGTCAGAACCCCATTTATGAATTCTTTGTTAAAAAGCAGGCTTAGGCAAACTAAGGACGCCAAAACCCAGTTATAGTTATAGCATAACACAGCATGTGATGGATCGTATGACGTGAGAGCCCCCAACAGTCATCATCTGATCACTCAGCAGCTCCATGCTCTCACGTTCCTCGGGCCTAGTGGTCTAGCTGTGTGTGGCAGCTTTTGTGCTCTGTGTTCTAGATGTTGATTGGCGATTATTTGAGGCCAGTGTATTGTGTTACCACCATGCGACTGAGCCTGGCCATAACAATACACAGACAGCACTGAGAGCATCAATGGCTGGCGTCCATACAGTTGGCTCAGCTACTTTGAGCCTGACGGCCCTTTTATTTCTGGTCTTTGCTAGGAGCTGTTTACTGATGATGGACGTCTGTGGTGAATGTCAAAATATTTTTTAACGTCATTGCAGTAACTTCTTTTTTTGAAGGGATTGTTTGTGTGTCCAATTATTTGTTATACTGGCCATTCAAAGGTTTTAGTGACATAAATAGTGAAATAGCATGCAATGAAGTTCATCTGCCGTTCTAATAACTTTAATGTGGTCAATGGTCACACTTGTCACTTGTCATGTAATGACCGGGACGTCATTGCACTCACATATTTGTTATGTGTTGTGGGCTTGCGTGCGTCTGCAGGTCTGCAGGTCGAACGCTGCTCTCTGTGCCCCAGGGGCCAATGAACCTGCTTATCAGAATCACCATGTATAATTCAGAAGGTTCACTGGATCAGATGTCACCGTTTGTGCTCCTCTGAGTATCCGTGCATGCCGACACATAATATCAGTGCATGTACACAAGCATATGATAGGAAGGAAGTGATTCTGTGTAGCTTTGTCTTCATCAGAAAATAAATAAATAAATAAAAATACAACGTTTAAAGAGAAAAGCAGTGAACAGGTGAATCAAATCAAACCCGTTACCTGATTTAAATGTGGCCTAGCTCATGTTCGACAGCACATTCTCTCCCATATCAGGACAATGTGCCCTGCTACTTTTTAGATCTTTCGGTGGATGTCCTCTTGCATTCGTGTCTCTACTATGCACGTTGTGGTGGTGCGTTAGGACCACATAAACCTCCATTTCTCTGTACGGGTAGATGATGGAACCCTGGCACATTATGCCCATTTGAACTTGTTCATTCAGTATCATCTTCTCATACACATCTGTGCTGCTGCAATTTGCATGGCTGCTATTTCTAGATTACTATGCAGAAGTTTTCGTCAGGCTCCACTTGCACTTGTGCCTCAGCAGTGCACATTGAATCTCCTCTAGTGTGTCGAAACAGTGATTATTCAGCTTGATCTTTATTTACAGGAAGTGAGCAAAGCGGTAGATATCTCAGTCTAGTGTGTCGTCCAGGTAGTGAAGAAAATTGTGTTGGAGCAGACAGAAAATTTCCTGTGCTGTCTGTGCACTCTGAGCAGGCATGAGACAACTTGCTGACAAGCACCGCAGTTCATCCTCCAAACATGTTTTGCGCCAGTTTGAGACAGAAGTTGATTTGAGGTCTGTGGTGAAACTGCACAGCACACAGTTTAAGTGGTCAGAAGGGGACTTCCAGGGAGCAAACTATAAATAGCACACGTGGCTGAGAACATGACCTTGAACGTGAGAATGGCCAAGAGTAAATCAGGCCAGGTTTTTAACTTTTAAGGACCTTCTCTCAGAGCTTTTTGATCAAAGCACAAGCGTACTGTCAAAAATCAACAACCTTGGGCACTGTTGATACACTGCTCACAGGCACTCGTATGGTCAGCATCTGCAAAATAACAGCTACTTTAAATTCATCCAGTTCATTCAATTAATTTGTCATGAATAGTGGCCATCTCAAGACCCTATCATTAAAAATATTAGGGTGTGAAACAGCAATCCCCTGTGAGCAAACACCCACTGACAGTGGGGAGGAAGAAACCTCTGACTTAACCAGACTCAAGGAGGTGCCTGGAGCCACGCGGCACGAGTGGGTGGGTTACGGTTGGGAACAACACAACAGACAATCCAGAGAGAAATACTAAGTGCAAAAATGCAGCTTCAGAAAACAGAGACGTGTGCAGAAAGGTACAGGGAGACAAAAACATAGACGACAGCACAGAGAAGACACAGTGTTAATGGCCTGCAATAAATGCATATACAGGAAGAGAGGAGAGGAGATCCAGTAAGTGTATACTGCACTGACTGTGTAAATACTGACGTTATTGAACCTACTGTAAAAGTTTAAGTATTGTTACTTAAACTTAAGTGCACTGGTAATAATTAGCCAGTCATGTCTTACATAATTATTGAAATTATCACTGGTTATTTTTCTTCTAAGTGTTCAAAGTGGTTATATCTGATAGCTGTTATGTATTAATATAATAACAAAGAAACAGGATGTTTCCTTCACCGTACTCGTCCACTTGGGAAAGTAAATATGTTGGGCATTTTTTTGGCCTTCAGACAATAATTCTGATTGCTACAAGTATGCAGTTCACATCAGATAATAACACGTGCACAGACGGTAGGTTTAGTTTGACTCTGTCCTTATCATGATCTTATCATCTGTCACAATGACCTATTTATGTGTGCTTATGTAATGTTATATGTTACTTATTGGAACAACTATATCAGGTAAAGAGTGAGTTAACACTTATCGCTTAAGATAACAGGAGACTTATCCCTGTTAGTAGCAAGGTTGTTACATTGTTACCAAAGGGTCATGTACTTGCTTCCCACAGCTGAATTAGAGAAACAAGATGTAAGTCTTTTCATCCTTTGTCTGCTTCCAGGCGGGCAGCGATGGAGAAAGCATCGGCAACTGTCCCTTCTCTCAGCGCCTCTTCATGATCCTCTGGCTCAAAGGAGTCATGTTCAACGTCACGACCGTCGACCTCAAGAGGTGAGGTTACAAAAAGCCAAGTTTGCAAACATGAAAACAAAACGTGCTAACGTCGCCCCTCACGACATTCTGCTTTCTCCGCGTGTGTCTTCTGCAGGAAGCCGGCAGATCTGCACAACCTGGCTCCAGGGACGCACCCTCCTTTCCTGACCTTCGAAGGAGAGGTCAAGACAGACGTCAACAAGATTGAAGAGTTTCTTGAGGAGACACTCTGTCCTCCAAAGTAATTCAACTAGAGGGTTTTTCATAACAGAGTATCAGATTATACCACCAACTACACACATCCTGGTTTGGCTGGATTTATTTCACTTCAGCAGCATTGCTGAAAGAACAGGAAACTCTTTAGTCCAGTAAAAGAGTGCTGGATCTGATGAAGGCTGACGTTAACAGAGATTACTGTTTATAGCTGCTGCAAATCTATTTTGAGTTGATATACAGTATAATGTAAGTGTCCCAGGTATGTGTTTTTGCACTTTTAATTCCTAAATGCAAAATCTTTAACACTCTACATCCAACGCTTTATTGACAAAATCTGATTTGGGTAATTTTAGTAAAAGAGCCTAAGAGGGTTCTTGTTGTTGTTATTCCAGTAAAAATGACCAGAGTCAGCGTGTGAGCGTTTGCAGAGAAAAATGTCAGATTAACTAAATCTTTATTTTATTGCCTGTAAAGTTTTTTTTACATTATAAACCGACCTCAGTGTGAGAAGCTCAAGGGGCGAGTAGCCAGCTTGGTGAGAGTGTGTAACATGTTTGGAGTGTGAGCTGAGTTTCAGCCCAGGTGTTAATGCTATCCAGATGGTTTGGTCTGACTGGGTCTCTGACTGCCTCTCCTGCCCCTGTCCCCCCATCCACTCAGGTATCCCAGACTGGCTGCCAAGCACAGAGAGTCCAATACAGCTGGAAACGACATCTTTGCCAAGTTCTCAGCCTACATCAAGAACACCAAACCAGAAGCCAACGCTGGTGGGCTGCTTATTTCATGCCATTTACATTCACACATGTACATGCGCAACGGAACAAGATGAAATCATGCGGGAGTGATTCATAAAATCCTCCACTAGGTGGTAGCAGAGTCCACTTTTTAGGCATGAGCTCATGCCGTTTGCTTTGCTGCCACCTAGTGAGGTTAGCGCCACACGTGTTCCGTCACCTTTTAAAGGTGTTGTATCTGTGCGTTTTAGCTCTAGAGAAAGGTTTAACCAAAGCCCTGAAGAAGCTGGATGACTACCTTAACAACCCATTGCCAGATGAGATCGATGCAAACAGCATGGAGGAGGAGAAGGGCTCCAACCGATGCTTCCTGGATGGGAACGAGTTCACTCTGGCAGACTGCAACCTCCTGCCCAAACTCTACATAGTGAAGGTAAAGAAATATGGCATGAGAGGAAAATTATTGAGGGGCAGTAATTAGTGGTGGTGATTCTACAGCTGCGTTGCCCTTCAACAATCATTCTCTACCGGCCCCTTATTATTCTTAGATGAGATTTTCATATCAGTACCTTGAGCAATCCAGATCCTATTATCTGTTAAAGTTAGACGTGTGTTTTTCCAAGTAACCTTTAAAGCACACACCAGTTTATCCAAGCTCAAACCAACTTATGAGGTCGGTTTCTGCAATATTGGACTTTGTTAAAAAGTTTCATACATTTTCACGGGCTAAACAAGTTTCCAGTCTACAGTAAGATTCACAGAAGTTGTCATATCAAGCGGTTCCTCTATTAAAGCCGGTGATAAATAAACACTTTGATATATCAAAACCAGATTTAGTACATGGATTTTGAACTCCATTTTGATAATGAATTCAGTGTTTTGCTGCATTTGAGTAATAAAGGCTGTGGTAATAAACCTAATATGTGCTTGATGATGATGATGATGATGATGATGATGATGATGATGTGTTTGCCTTAAATTGGTGTCTGGTAACACCCGAGGAGGTCCCAAGCAGTATTACAGTTAACTAAAACGAAATGTCAACATATATTATAGTTTAAGTTATAACAGAAACTAGAGACTATAAATAAATGAAAATTAACTGAAACAATGTGTATTTAAAAAGAAAGAAAGAATTGAAGTCAAATAAAACTATACAGTCAAAAATAGTCAACAATATGGTCAAATCTGTCAACAGCCTGCCTGAGGAGCCTGCAGTCCAAATGAGACTTGGGGTGTCTACATGACTGCGAGCCAACTCCCTCCACAAATGTTGCATTTGTATTCAATTTTGTGCCACAGGAATACATGAATGATTAAAAAAAAAGACTAAAACTAACACTGGAACTAATAAAAACTAAACTAAAACAAGTAAATCTATTCTGGAAACCAGCAGGATCTGAAAAGAAAGTAAAAAGGAAAAAAGGAAAAGACTGAAAATGTCAAGCAACTCTGCCCCCAAGATGTGTTTAAGATAGGTTTGCTCTTAACTTTATTTTCCACAGCCACAATTTTTAAAAATCAGATTTTTAGACTTAAAAAAAAAAGTTTTCTCTTTTCCTAATTAAGGAAAAAAAACTATCTTGAATTTGTTATTTGGGGCATTTAGTATCCATATGTCAAATTATTAGTAGCTAAAGGTTATACTGATAAATCCCATTTTTAGTCCAGGAGGACACAACAAAATGTAAGAACACAAATTCCCTTTAAAAGTTTTTTGTTTTAAACTAAAACTACAATTTTTAACAAGAGCAGGTCCTTTCTACGGTGGGTTAATATATCAGGCAGATAAGCATTCACCACTGGAGGAAAGTATCTAATGAATCTAACCGGCATGTCCTGCTCCTGCAGAGCTGACTTACTTAATGCTTCATTGGTTTTGCAGTTGAAGTGGTTCTGACTTACCTTTTGGATGCAGAGCACAGACGATATACAGAGTATTGCTGAAAGGCATTAATTCTTACATTCACGAGCTAAAAAAAAAGCATAAATGTTATTAGTTTTGTTTCAAAATGGCAAACTGAAACACCTCATCCAAAAAACATACCTCCTGGAAGGTGCTGAAGATATTAGCTCGAGTCTGAATGAACGGGGTAGTTTAGTTATCGCCTTGCATTCTCTCCTAGGTTGTTGCTAAGAAATACCGCAAATACGACATCCCAGCGGAAATGTCGGGGGTGTGGCGCTACCTGAACAACGCCTCCACGCGTGACGAGTTCACCAACACCTGTGCGGCTGACACTGAGATCGAGACCGCCTACAAAGACGTGGCGAGGAGACTGGCCAAGTAGCCTGACCTGATCGCAAGGAAAAATAAACCGGCAACACACATCATAAAGAAAACATCCCCCATGAACGTAACACGCGACTGTCCTTTGTGAGATCCTCGTCTGTCATAATAAACAAGTCCGATGTCTTTGTTTCAGCTCCAGATGTGGATGGACTTTAGCTACTCGGTGCACAGTGTGTATGGTATTTCAATCACCTCGGCAGAGACACGGCAAAGCAGAAGTGGAGCAGAAGATAAATCAAACACATTTAACGTGATTCGCATTTCAAAGCCAGGTTCCAACGTTGCTGCTGTGAGACTTCTGACATAACTCTTTTCGCTCAAATGTGATTGTGTCTGTCTGTATTTATTCCTCATAACACAAAGCTCCCTTTCATACCTACTCTACCGCACGGCCAAACATTTTACTAGCTGCTGATGTCGAGGTCGTTCACTTTATTTATTCCCGAGCCCACATAAGTCTAGTCTGACTCCAGTGTTTATTATCGGGCTCTGGCTCCTGGGGAGACACCTTGATTCATCTATGATTGATGATTGATGCTAATTGTTTGCTGAATATGACTGTTCCACTCTGCAGTTTCATTTTCAGTTCATTACTGTGGGTGTTGCTGTAGTTTCTTTTTCTTTTCTAATGCTTCTGAAAATTTGATGTAAAGGCAAAAAATATATATATTATTCAAATATATGCTCGACAAAAAGAACAAATGTACCTAATAAGGGCATTAAAAGTTTAGAACGAGGCTTGTTTCTGAACTGCTTGCATGCGTGAATGTCTTTCAAACCAATTCGGAGCCTTCGGAAATATGAAAAGTCCACAGATACGTGGCTTTATTTGGAAGTATGAGAAATCCATGCCAATGTCACTGATGGATTCATTCTGAAAAATGTATTGCAGCCAGAGCTGGGACGTTTGTTTTGCCTCAAGCTATTAGTGTTCAGTCTCGAGTATTGATTTTGTCTTAAGTTACGCATGATATTATAAATGGAGAGAGTATTTATTTAGCAGCCCCAATCAGGCCTGATTAGCCAGAGCCATTAGTGCTGCGATGAAAAGCGTCTTCCAGGCCAGGTCCGCGATGGTCAGGAGCCCTGCCCTCCAGCCCTTCATCAGAAAGACATTTCCTCCTCTCTGAGGACTTCATCAACATCCGCAGCCTAAAAGTTAAAGTTCAAAAGTTTCATTGTCTAGCAGAGAACAGAGAAATTTGTCTCGGGGCTTATCGTCTTTGGCTTGCTGTCGGGCTTGCAACTATAGCGCGACTTCCTTGAAGAACCATAAGGCTCTTGTGTGGTTTGGACAAACACATGATATGAAACTGGAGCATGATGACTGAAAGGCTTTCTCATTGCAAAGCTCTACAAATAAAATAATATTTTCACAGATCTGCTTCTGCCTTTTCTTTTCTTTTCCAGCTAAGGTAATCAATCAACATCCACGCTCGCAGGTTGTCAGGAAGGGGAAGGCTGAGCAAGTCTCTCTGGGTGATAGTGAAGGTGCTGGAGGGGAGACTGGATCCCGGTTCTGAAAAAGGGTTAAAGTGTGCAGTACTGAGTTGATCAAATCCAGTGGTGCAGGTCTGTTTCTCTATCCATAACAGAGAAAGAAAGAGGGGGGGAGAGAGAGTGATGACCGTTGACAGGCTTAAATAGAGGCTTCCATGCCAGGGATCAAACGCCATCCCTCTTCTCCACTCTCTCATTAAGACGGAAAACCCGAGCGCCGCCATCCGATCTGTCTCCATTTTTCCTCAAAGGAGTCTAACTTGAAAGATCTGCGCCTGTCGGATTTACAATGGTGGGCGAGTGGTGTTTACTGAGACGCGGCCTTGCCAGAAACAACAGTCAAAGAAAATAAATGGAGCCTGCCTAGTGTTTCCACAGGAGTAAGGAAATATGGAGCGAGACTTGTGCCTTGCTGTTTGGTAATTAGTACCTAAACATCCCTGTCCTTGGATCCCATCGCTCACATCCAACATTTCTGCAAGCTGGATAATATACAGTGGAGCATTAGCGTCAAACACGTCTGGTCATGGGGCCTGGCACGCCACATTAATCTGTTATTACATTCCCAGTGGATCTACCAGTCGCTGGCCTTGGCTTGGCCACCATAGCGCAAGGGAGTCCATATAGGCTGACAGGGGACTCACACAGTGCACTTTTATAGCCAGGTTTAGTAAACCTTTTCAGCTCAGGCATAAATTTTGTAAATTGAGTCTTGCTTTGAGACCTGAGCTGATTAAAACAAACGGGTGTGCTTGATGTGTGAGGACCTACCAGAAACAGACCTGTGATCCAATTAAGGGCCAGACCCATAGTTTAAGAAATACTGCCATATAGGCCCCTGTGCAAGAACACGTCAAATTTAGCTGCTGCTAAAGACATTGCACCTGGGAGACAGACATATATGTTTCAGGCTGAGGTTAAGTTTAGTTTTTCCTTCTCCTGTCCTGTTTTTGTTATAATACATTTGTTGCAATTCATCTGCTGTGTTATCTTCAACAATTTTGCTTCTTCTTATTTTTTTTTTAAAGTTTTATATTTCCAAATTTGGTGGAATTGGTCAACTGCCATGTTATTGTTTGTTTTTTGAGACAAAAGTGGCATATTTCGGCAAGAGTGCGCAATATCTTAAGTAACATTAGCTGGTTTCATTAGCAAGTTTGCTAATTAATGCTAAGTGACATGAAAATAAAATACCAGAATTTCACTCACCAAAACTGGCACGCAGGCTTCTGGAATGGCCTGTTAGAACAATCACAGTGCACCGAGTAATATTCACTGTCAGATAAATGTTTTAAAAATGCTACAAAAGGGAAAATGCTCCAGCAGAGGTCCAGTTCAGAGACTGGATATTAGCACAAGTGAAGAGGAAACGCTAGCTAGCGACCACAGGCTGTATCCGCCACAGGCATTACAAAAGATAGATGTCGCCCATTTGTTTCTGAAATTCAGTTTTTAAGCCTCAAGATGAGTGTTGCAGTCATCTTGGCTACCCCCCCCCCCCCCCCAAAAAAACAAAACATGATAATGAACATGCTAATAGTAATAGGCAGCTCGATAGCTAATTTCTTACCAAAGACAATACACGACTTTGAAACGTGGCATGACCAGGATTTACAAAATAGACTTAGTTTTTAAAATTCAGTTTAACCCAAAACGAGTTACTGAGTCCATAAATTAAGAAGGAAGGTATTTAGATAGGTCAGTGATTAAAGCAACCAAACCTGTAACAGCGGAGTCTATTTTTAAGCCTAAACATTTTTATTTTTGTTAAGTTGGGGATTTTAACCTGGGAGCCTGTGAGGATTGACTCATATTTGGAGCCTGCTGTAAGTAACTGTTTGAGGAACTGCTGTTTTTAAAAAAAATTATTTTATATTTGGCTCATGGCACTATGGTTTGTTATTAAGTTCAAGCCACAGGGCTAAGCGTCCATGTTTCTGAAAAGTAAATATGTAAAACCTGAAATAAAGCCACAAACCAAAGTTTGTCCAATAAACAAGTTTCCTCACATTTTCATAAAAAAATTGGTCTTT